CAGATTTGAAGTCAATATTTTCTCTATAATATTACGAATTACATATTTTAATAGCATTTCACACAAAAATTAATTAAAAATCTTATTTTATTCAAAATTTATTAAAACTTCAAAATTTTCGGCGGGTTTGATTGACACATGCTTGCACTTTCACAAATTTTAACCTTATTCTTAATCCTTAGGAAAAATGGTAATCTTGTTGTGTATTAATGAGAAATATTTAAAACTTTTATCCAGAAAAATAATTTTATTCAGAATAGAGATGTTAGAAAGCAAAACTCCTTCACAAGTATCGTCATTCCGAACTAAGGGATGCGTACATGGTTTAGCAAATCGAGCATACTCGTGTTATGTACACAGTTTTTGTAAACAGGGCACGAGTTCTGTTTTTGTTTATTTTTAGAATTCACCGGGTGCGTTCTGAATCGTCACAGTCTGCTTACCACAACTGCACGGACAATATATTTTGTGTTTGCTTTCGAACATGTCTACTCTGAATTTTCTGGATTATAGTATTGATATTTTTCATTTATACACAACGAGATTGCCACTTTTCCTAAGGGTTAAGAATAAAATTAATTTGTAAAGGTGCAAGGATGTGTTAATCAAACCCGCCAAAAAATTTGAAATATTAACATCTTTTAAATGAAATAAGATTTTTAATTAATTTTTGTGTGAAATGCTATTAAAATATATAAGTCGTAATATTATAGAGAAAATAATAACTTCAAATCTGTGTCCAAGTACCTTCAAAGAAGATCAGTTCTAGAATTTCTCCGGAAATAAATCATTGAAAATACATCAGCACTATATAACTTGAAACGGATATCAGAGTTAGATTATTTCAGACATGGGGTTGGGAAATTCTGGTTCGGCAAAGGTTGCCAAAATTACAGAAAGAATGATAAAGAAGCAGAGTAGTCTTTGCAGGGCGAGCGTACATAATTTTGATTAATTTTTTAGGAATAGGTCTGTGTAATTATCATCATGAAATCCGTTTTGTCCTCTCATACCGGATCTAGGATGTTGGATTTAATTAGATTATGTTTCCTCTCTGAATGTCTGTGCGTATCTTCCTCTTGAAAAAATGACTGCATGCTTATGAATGATACAATTACGCTTGAAAATTTCTTGACGAAAAGGAAACTTACAAAGTATATTGACGAGATATAATATGCTTACCTCCGTAGGTCCATCCAGAAAAGACGCTACCATCTTGATCACACACTTCCTCATCCACCTTCTGGTCAAGACGTTTAGAGGCGTCCATCACCACAATATAGAAAGCTCTCCTCGTCAGGTAAATCTGGTGACATGCGTAGTACGCACACTGTCCTCCAAAGTCAAAGAACGTCAAGGTCTTTGCATCCAATTTTTCAAAAGTATTTTCTACATAGTTTTTTTCTTTGTATTTTCCTCTGGCTGAAAAAAAAGTGATCATGAAAATATCGTATTGTTGCTGTTGGAATAAAAAGAAATATATGATCAGTATTGCCAGAGTTAGACAAAGCATAACTCAGAACACTCAGATTCAATCATTTTTAATCTTAGATGTAAAAAAAACTTCATTTAAAAAAATATTTTCTTTTCCATGTGTACAAACTAATTCATTCCTATTTTTCTGAAGATTGTATATTTTTTAATTATACAGTGTTATAAAACATCGCAATTGTGAATTTATGTTTAATTTTCAATATTCGAATGGGTTCTCCCTCTATTTATATATTAACAAAGTTAAATTTGAATTACTAGTATCATATCTTACCTTTCAAAGATTTTACTTCATCACATAATTCAAATATTTCCTCATGCACCTCCAATCCCTCGGTAGATTTTACTTCTTTAATCTCTTTTTCGGTACACCCGAGTAGACGTTTAAGTAGCGTGGTTTTCCCCACCCCAGCACATCCTACAATCATCCCTCGGGCGTGGTGGACTGTCTGTGTTCCTCTCTTAGCGTACTCCACATACCGCTCTCTGGCCTCCTGGTCCCACGCAAGTACTTCTCTAGGGACTCCCACTGAATCATAAAATAATGAACATCGTTAGATAATAAAGTAATAAAAAAAGAAAATAAAATCCTGGCCCCACTCCAGAACTTCTACAGTAACTCCCACTGTATTAAGACCAAAAAAAAAAAATAAATAAATAAATAAATCCAAAAATAATTTTTTGGCATTTAATAGATTTCACCCTTAATAGTACATCTCAGATTTCAAATGCCATTTCGTTGAATTGTTGCTCGTAATTCCTGCAATGGCACGCTGATTGGTTCAAAAGTATTTTCTGCACGACCTTAAACAAAAATTACACGAGTGAGTTAAAACTTACACAAAGTGCGGAAAATACACAGGAAGTTATTGAAATTTACACAAACTATACCAAAACTACACAATCAACAAAATATTTACACGATATAACGAGAAAATTACACAAACGTAAAAACGAAAACTGCACAAGTGAGAATACAACATTGACATAATATACGACGCATCCTCAATGTTGCGCACATTTCATTAATATTCATTAGCGAACAGATCAGTGTGGCTTGGATGCTTGAAACGTTATAAAACAAGAGGATCGATGAGTAATGTGTTAACAATATTAATCTTTAAAAAAAGATTCAGTCTTTCAGAATTACGCTAGACTCTCAAGAATATGCCTAACGTGTTATATACATGTAAAAATTGACAGGCACACAACATGCATATAAATAAACATCCGTCCGCGATTAAAATATAGATAACGTTAAATGGGGGTGCATATAAACTGTATATTATCAGTTGCGTGTTTAATTGTTAGATTTTTTGTTTCATTCCTCTATATAGCAATAATTTTTGAAAGTTTAAAACAATGATATTATCATAGTATAGGTAAATTAATAAAAACAGTGTGAGTTAATACAGGAGAGTTAACAATAAAGAAAACTCTTTTCCTCCATCACCCACTGTGTATACTTTGGTAATAATTAAGGATGTGAATGTGTGACCTTTTCACATCGAGAAATTCCTCCCTACTGGAATGGAATGAAAGACACGTGTACGCTAATCGATTTATAGTTATTTGACACTTCAGTGATACCTTTTGATTGGAGGTTATTAGCAATTCGTACAGAGATTTTGAAGCAATGTTGCTGTCATCTGGGTTGTGGAATTTGCCCAATGTGAAAAATGTAGTATCGCTTTTTAAAGGGGGGATGCCAAATAACCTAAAAAAAAAAAACTAATTAAAAAGCCAAAAAAAAAAAAAGGTAAAGCGTCCAATCTCGAAAATCCTATTTCGTTGAGGTAGTGAGGCACCTTCAATTCCCATCCAGCAACAAAAAAGGTGACTTTTCAGTGGACATTTTACAATGGAAGTAGGTTCTTTTTGAGAGAAAAAAAAAACAGGGGTGGGGGGGGGGGTTCTATAGGCCTAATTAACGATTCTTTTCGTTCATAATAAGAGGTTATTTTTTTTTATAATGGTCATTTACATGTATTTGGATAAAAAAAGTAATCTTACAAGAAACTTAATGTTTAGAAAATAGTTTTAAAAATCATGAAGTCGAAATTTGAAATGTAAACAGAATAAAGAACATGGATTATTTGCATTTTTTAAGAGTGATAAAACGCGTTCTATGACACTGCTGTATCCATCTTAATTTTTTTTTATTGCATCCTCTTTGTAACATTGTATGTAATATAAATGTACGAAGTAAAGCACACTGTTTGAAAAGTAAAAAAAAAAACATATAATCGCATGTACATAAAACACATAGGGTATATATATATATATATATATATATATATATATATATATATATATATATATATATATATATATATATATATATATATATATTTCCATTTTATCTGGTCCTTTTTATTAAAAAGAAAACATTTATCATGTAATCGTCATTACGAATGAGGGTAACGCTCACAAGAAATGTCATGTTTTTTATTGAGTAGTTTATAACTGAAACTATGAGATTACATGGAAAAGAATTCATAACAAAGTAGACTAAAGATCTCCAACGAAACCGATATCCTGATATTTTATAAGTATGAATACATGTGTTGTTAGAATAAAATATTTTTTTTTATGTTTGGCGTTAGACGCAGGCGCGGATCCAGATTTTTTTTTCAAGGCGTGGTGTCTATCCCAGTAAAGAAAGATTAAAGAAAGGAAGAAAAAAAAATCGCCAAAACGTCAAAATCTATTTTGTGTGTGTGTGTGTGTGTGGGGGGGGGGGGGGGTTGTGTTATGATTTCTATTGCCTAAATCTTTCACTTTTCACATTCATTTCACATACATATTCGCGTTTACCGGGGGGGGGGGTTCAGAGTTTTCCAAGGGGGTCTATGGTAACCCCCCCGACCCCTTCTAGATCCACGCATGAGATCTAAATACATGCTGTATAATCTAATGTAATCCCAACGTACTTCAAATTAAAAAAAATATCCAGCCAAATGAATCGAATATAGGTATATAAAGCAGACCCTTTTGTCTCATGGTTTTGGAGATGTGTGGTCTTTCCTGAGTCAGTAAATGAAAAGGTCTTTTATATGTATTTTGAACAAAGACAAGCTGACCCTTTTGTCTCATGGTTTTGGAGATGTGTGGTCTTTCCTGAGTCAGTAAATGAAAAGGTCTTTTATATGTATTTTGAACAAAGACAAGCTGATTGTTTTTTCCAAAAACTGAGAGTAGATATAAAAAATGCTCAGCCTCTTAAATTGTTTAAATATCTAAACCCGACTTTACAACAGGCTGGCTATCTTAATTATATATATTATGAAAAGCACAGAAAAGCATTAACTAGACTCTACGCATTGAATCTGGTAGATATGATAAAAAATGTCCCACAAGTGAACGAAAATGTATATTTTGTACATCAAACGAAACAGAAGATGAATATCATTTTGTTCTGATATGTAACTTCTATACTGAGTTAAGAGAAAAACATATTAAAAAATATTATTATGTAAGACCTAGTTTGGCAAAATTTATTGAATTACTTAATTCCGATTCAGAAAATATACTTAAAAAACGGGAAATTTGTGTTTGAATGTTTTAAAAGAGGGAAAACTTTACCATACAGTAATATTAATACATGTGTAATACAAAAAAGACACCTGCATAGTTCTTTTTACCTCTTTTTGTTTTCATTTTTTTTCTTCATATTTGTATAAAATTATGTAATAGCACCTGTGTAACACCTGTTAACCATTGTTTATAGTCTTGGTAGAGGGAATTGAAATCTTGCTAAATCCCTGAACGGTATACTTTTGGACCGTTTTATTATACCGATCGATACAAAAAAAGGGAGGATTGCAAATGACGAGGTATTAGGTTTCGGAGCAGGGATGAACTCACTTGATTAACACACGGGGATTACAGGCATGTAGTCAAATAACATTTTAATATACCGACACAAAGGTTAATTCAAGAGGATTACGAATAACCGGAAATTAGCTTCCGAAGCACGGATTAGCTTATTAAACCAAAGATCCGGGATTAGTCCATTCATGTTGATTTCTAGGGAATAATTCACATTTTACTATTTAATTTTTAAATAGGGAAAATCGGTAGAGGTAGAATAATTAAAATGTAATTGAATACTGCTTGTCGGTATTTGTAGAAAATTTAGATGAAAGGTTATTATTTTCCATCCCAACCTTATTAAAAAATTAAATTAAAAAATTTTCATTTTCCAATTCTTTACTGCAGTAGAGAAAAAATTCGAAGAAAAAATGAGTATAAAATGTTAACCTATCCCTGTTTCGTATCTTTCAAGGAATAAGCAGCATTTTATATCTTTTATGGAATAAGCTGCATGATTTTAAAATGTTCACCTATTCCAGTTTTATATCTTTCACGGAATAAGCTGCATTTTAAATCTTTTACGGAATAAGCTGCATGATTATAAAATGTATCCCAGTTTTATATCTTTTACGGACTAAGCTGTATGATTACAAATTGCTAATTCAACCTATCCCAGTTTAAATCTTTTACGTAATAAGCTGCATGAGTATACCGACAAATGCCGCTAAATGCCGCTGACTCTACCAGAACTTCTGTTTTGGAGAAATGCCGCTAAATGCCGCGGACTCTACTCGAAGGTCTGTCTTGGACAAATGCCGCTAAATGCCGCTGACTCTACCAGAAGCACTGTCTTGGACAATTGCCCCACCCACCAACCCATTTCATCTCATTTCGTGACTTCTTACATGAAGTATGAACCGTAAAAAAAAATAATCTAACCTAGAAAATTCTTTCAAGGTATAAAATCGTAAAAGGGTGACGGGGGGGGGGGGGGGGGGGGGGTCGTTTGAATCGGAATCTTCATCTGACTGACTTTGTTACCAATTTTTCACGATCCAGTCATTCATGTTTTTGTTTGTATAATTTGTTTTTTAAATAATTTCAAATTATATTAAAATCATTTCCATTTGAACGTTGCATACAGTTCATTAACCTTTAACATGTTTAATGTGTTAGTAATATTACACATGATTATAGGCAGTATATGAGATCGTCTTGCGTACAAACATGTATGTCCTCTAAATTAAATTATGCAACTAAATTCATATATGAGGAAAACCCTTCTATAAAATTTAAAAAAACAAATATAATTTTAGATCAATAATACTCACAACGTTTACTGATCCTGTCATGAATCCTCCAGTCAGATACGGTACAGTGTGTGATGATGTCCAGGTGTAGTTTGTCTATGAAGAGGTCGCATATCTTCTCCGGTAGGTACGGTATATACAGACATCTTCCTCCCTCACTCCTCTCATAATCCCAGGACCGACAGTATTCTGATATCACGTCACGTGACGCCGTGGTTAGGAAAAACTCCAGATCACTGTCCTCCACCAGACACTCCGTAACAAAGGCGTACATGACGTCATGTCGGATGTCGTCTGATATAAAGGTCATCACACCGTCACGTGTTTCTGTGATTCCTTCAGGAAGATCTAAAGAGTCGTCTTCAGTAATATCAGGGTAATATCTGTCTTTGATTTTGTCCCTTATGACTCTGTGTGATTGTTCATTGACATTCAGCTGATATTTCTCAGCTAACAGCATGCTGTATAATAGATTCCGAATTTTTGGCAAATAGTTATCACATTTACCTAAAATAAGAATTAAGCCCTTTTTTTAGAATAAGTTACATTTTTATGATAAAAGATAATATGTTATGTATTTTCAGCGATTGAATATTTATAAATAAATATAAGGATTTTTAATTGCCGTATTTGACATTTGCATTTTAATACTATTAAACTTTTCTGGGTAAATCGGCATTTTTTCTTACACAATTGTGGCTGATATATAACACATTTTATTCCAGAATCCTATATGATTTTAACCTACCTTTATTATACAAAGAATTTCAAAATATTGATTATATCTGGGCAGAAATAAAATGAACTAAACCATCCCCTCCCTTCCCAAGTTGTCGTTTTACGTTTGTTTAAGTAATAACTTAGTTTAGCTAGATTTTCAACGAGAAAGAAAAAATACAATCTAGAGACTATAAATTCTTGAATGAAATTCAAATATTGTCTTTGTATTTTTGAAGAAGCTATTGTTCAATTTTAAAACAAAACACACTTTCGTTTCTGCTTGAAATCTCGAAAAGTCTTTGACCCTATGCAGTTACATTTTATACCACAACTTGCTATGACATAAGGAAGACCCCTATTCATGTTTAAGTCAAAAAGTCAAAAATCAAGGTCATAGATACACACTCTGTGTGTAAAACGTTCAATTCCTGGAGATATCTGATGATCTTTCAAGTTTTTGTTGGAATAAATGTTATACCATGTCTCCCAATGACGCAGCCTGCCTTTTTTTAGTGTATCCACCCCCCTAGATCCCATCCCCACCCGTGATCAACTCATTTTCTTGTTTTTTCCTTAAAAAGGGGGATGTACATTCTCTGATTAAGCCTGTTTAATTTTGAAATATTAGTTGTAGTTCTATACATGCTGGTATATTTGTTATAAATTATAAATCTCCTCGGACTGTCCAAAAGTCAAGATTATATTCTAATTAATAAAATAAACACACAATCTGAGAGTATTGCATAAACAAAACAAACCCCCTACCGGGTTTTCCTTTTTCTTTAGGATGTCATTTATAACATGCAAAAGTTATGTCGAATGTTAAACTGCTTGATTTTGAGGTCATGAATGCCTTTAACTAATAAAATAATCCACGTTAACAAAAAAATTCAACTCATTTCTCAACGTCTTTTCAGATTTAGGAGTCAATAACATAACAATTTAACACGAACCCGATCTCAAACGATTATGAAAAATTAAAATGCCATAATTTTGTCAAAAATCAATGTAGCGAAGCGACATTTAAGCTTGATCTGTAACTCATCAAGAAACATGCACATACCAAAATTCAGTTCAATATCTGCAAGTATTTAGAAAAAAAATGGGGGGAAACCAAGTAGGACAGACTGACAAACAGACAGGGACAAACAGAGGGACTAACTGATGGACAGACGCAGAGGAAACCTAACGTCACCTCCGGTTTCATGGTAGGGGACTAATAAACGGTCACGGTTTTAAAGTTTACCCACTATACATTGTGAGTATAAGATCCAAATTCTCAGATAAGAAATCTAGACTTAGTTAAGAACCAATTAATAGATCTACGACTGATTGCTATTATACATGTAAGTGATTGCTAAATTGTGATTTTTATACATTAATTGATAAGAACAGAAATATTTGCAAATGGAATTATGTATATACAGATTTATTTCAATATTTTCCTTTAATTTACACTGATAAATAGTAAATTATATAACCTCCGAAGAATAGATAAGAGGTTTGATATAATATCGATCTATTCATATTTCCTATTCTGATATTCATGAACACTGTAAATAAATGTATCAATGTTGAAATTCAATGATTCAATTTTATTAATTCCTAAGTGTATGAATGAAAATATACATGTACATGTTATGTAGAATAATGTGTCACTACAATAATCCTTTATTATCTTTTCTTTATTTCATTCATTATTATGCACAATATTACAATGACAACGTTTATATGTGCATACTTACCCCCACCCCCCTTCCTCACAGCATGACCAAGTCTTAGGAGAAATTAACATTCTATCTGTGCTTGCGTAATTTGAATAATTTTGCGAGATTTTGATCGAGAGTGGTATGCATCTAATCTTTTTTCTATGCTTAACAGTCGAAAAAAATAACGTGGTGAAACACATTGTAAATTGTATGAGTAAATATACTTTCATTATAATTTTTGATCTAAGAAAGATAACCCTGATTATTTACATAGTTGATTTATCTCCCTTGTTGTTGACATGAAGTTGTTGAATGTAGTATGGCTGATTTACGTTACATGTGCATTCAATATTGAGTTTTCTAAATCAATCATTATCATGTATGAGACATTATACTCCTATTCGATAAAAAATGTCATACTTGAAAAATTATCCCAGATTTGAAAAAAAAACAAGAGGCCAATGGGCAACATCGCTCACCTGAGAAGCTTTGACCATTCTGTTCTTTACCAGATTTCACCCTTGTTATACATAATGCATTCCCACCCTACCCCACTGATCATAATTTAGACATTTTGAAATCTAAACTACCCAATGATCCTTCCATGGGCACATATGTTTCAGCATTTTTGGCCCAGTGGTTCCTGAGAAGAAGATTTTCAAAGATTTTTCCTATATATTTCTATGTAAAACTTTGATTCCCTATAATGGCCCCGCCCTTCCCCCGGGGGTCTTGATTCCTACAATTTAGAATTTACACTACCCCAGAATGCTTCCACATAATCTTCACTTTTTCTGGCCCGGTGGTTCTTGAGAAGAAGATTTTCAAAGATTTTTCCTATATATTTCTATATAAAAATTGATTCCCCATTGTGGCCCCGCCCTTCCCCCGGGTGTCATTATTTAAACAGTTTAGAATCTACATTATACCAGGATGCTTCCACATAAGTTTCAGCTTTTCTGGCCCAGTGGTTCTTGAGAAGAAGATTTTCAAAGATTTTTCCTATATATTTCTATGTAAAACTTTGATACCCCATTGTGGCCCCGCCCTTGCCCCGGGGGTCATGATTTAAACAATTTAAAATCTACACTATACCAGGATGCTTCCACATAAGTTTCAGCTTTTCTGGCCCACTGGTTCTTGAGAAGAAGATTTTCAAAGATTTTTCCTATATATTTCTATGTAAAACTTTGATTCCCTATAATGGCCCCGCCCTTCCCCCGGGGGTCTTGATTCCTACAATTTAGAATTTACACTACCCCAGAATGCTTCCACATAATCTTCACTTTTTCTGGCCCGGTGGTTCTTGAGAAGAAGATTTTCAAAGATTTTTCCTATATATTTCTATATAAAAATTGATTCCCCATTGTGGCCCCGCCCTTCCCCCGGGTGTCATTATTTAAACAGTTTAAAATCTACATTATACCAGGATGCTTCCACATAAGTTTCAGCTTTTCTGGCCCAGTGGTTCTTGAGAAGAAGATTTTCAAAGATTTTTCCTATATATTTCTATGTAAAACTTTGATACCCCATTGTGGCCCCGCCCTTGCCCCGGGGGTCATGATTTTAATAATTTAAAATCTACACTATACCAGGATGCTTCCACATAAGTTTCAGCTTTTCTGGCCCAGTGGTTCTTGAGAAGAAGGTTTTCAAAGATTTTTCCTATATATTTCTATGTAAAACTTTGATACCCCATTGTGGCCCCGCCCTTCCCCGGGGGGGTCATGATTTTAACAATTTAAAATCTACACTATACCAGGATGCTTCCACATAAGTTTCAGCTTTTCTGGCACAGTGGTTCTTGAGGAGAAGATTTTCAAAGATTTTTCCTATATATTTCTATATAAAACTTTGATTCCCCATTGTGGCCCCGCCCATCCCCCGGGGGTCATTATTTGAATAATTAAGAATCTACATTATACCAGGATGCTTCCACATAAGTTTCAGCTTTCCTGGCCCAGTGGTTCTTGAGAAGAAGATTTTCAAAATTTTTCCTATATATTTCTATATTTAAAACTTTGATTCCCCATTGTGGCCCCGCCCTTCCCCATGGGGTCATGATTTGAACAATTTAAAATTTACACTATACCAGGATGTTTCCATATAAGTTTCAGCTTTTCTGGCCCAGTGGTTCTTGAGAAGAAGGTTTTCAAAGATTTTTTCTATATATTTCTATGTAAAACTTTGATACCCCATTGTGGACCCGCCCTTCCCCGGGGGGTCATGATTTTAACAATTTAAAATCTACACTATACCAGGATGCTTCCACATAAGTTTCAGCTTTTCTGGCCCAGTGGTTCTTGAGGAGATTTTCAAAGATTTTTCCTATATATTTCTATATAAAACTTTGATTCCCCATTGTGGCCCCGCCCTTCCCCCGGGGGTCATTATTTGAATAATTAAGAATCTACATTATACCAGGATGCTTCCACATAAGTTTCAGCTTTCCTGGCCCAGTGGTTCTTTAGAAGAAGATTTTCAAAGATTTTTCCTATATATTTCTATATTTAAAACTTTGATTCCCCATTGTGGCCCCGCCCTTCCCCATGGGGTCATGATTTGAACAATTTAGAATTTACACTATACCAGGATGTTTCCATATAAGTTTCAGCTTTTCTGGCCCAGTGGTTCTTGAGAAGAAGCTTTTCAAAGAATTTTCCTATATATTTCTATGTAAAACTTTGATTCCCCATTGTGGCCCCGCCCTTCCCCCGGGGGGTCATGATTTTAACAATTTAGAATTTACACTATACCAGGATGTTTCCATATAAGTTTCAGCTTTTCTGGCCCAGTGGTTCCTGAGAAGAAGATTTTCAAAGATTTTTCCTATATATTTCTATGTAAAACTTTGATTCCCTATAATGGCCCCGCCCTTCCCCCGGGGGTCTTGATTCCTACAATTTAGAATTTACACTACCCCAGAATGTTTCCACATAATCTTCACTTTTTCTGGCCCGGTGGTTCTTGAGAAGAAGATTTTCAAAGATTTTTCCTATATATTTCTATATAAAAATTGATTCCCCATTGTGGCCCCGCCCTTCCCCCGGGTGTCATTATTTAAACAGTTTAGAATCTACATTATACCAGGATGCTTCCACATAAGTTTCAGCTTTTCTGGCCCAGTGGTTCTTGAGAAGAAGATTTTCAAAGATTTTTCCTATATATTTCTATGTAAAACTTTGATACCCCATTGTGGCCCCGCCCTTGCCCCGGGGGTCATGATTTAAACAATTTAAAATCTACACTATACCAGGATGCTTCCACATAAGTTTCAGCTTTTCTGGCCCAGTGGTTCTTGAGAAGAAGATTTTCAAAGATTTTTCCTATATATTTCTATGTAAAACTTTGATTCCCTATAATGGCCCCGCCCTTCCCCCGGGGGTCTTGATTCCTACAATTTAGAATTTACACTACCCCAGAATGCTTCCACATAATCTTCACTTTTTCTGGCCCGGTGGTTCTTGAGAAGAAGATTTTCAAAGATTTTTCCTATATATTTCTATATAAAAATTGATTCCCCATTGTGGCCCCGCCCTTCCCCCGGGTGTCATTATTTAAACAGTTTAGAATCTACATTATACCAGGATGCTTCCACATAAGTTTCAGCTTTTCTGGCCCAGTGGTTCTTGAGAAGAAGATTTTCAAAGATTTTTCCTATATATTTCTATGTAAAACTTTGATACCCCATTGTGGCCCCGCCCTTGCCCCGGGGGTCATGATTTAAATAATTTAAAATCTACACTATACCAGGATGCTTCCACATAAGTTTCAGCTTTTCTGGCCCAGTGGTTCTTGAGAAGAAGGTTTTCAAAGATTTTTCCTATATATTTCTATGTAAAACTTTGATACCCCATTGTGGCCCCGCCCTTCCCCGGGGGGTCATGATTTTAACAATTTAAAATCTACACTATACCAGGATGCTTCCACATAAGTTTCAGCTTTTCTGGCCCAGTGGTTCTTGAGGAGAAGATTTTCAAAGATTTTTCCTATATATTTCTATATAAAACTTTGATTCCCCATTGTGGCCCCGCCCTTCCCCCGGGGGTCATTATTTGAATAATTAAGAATCTACATTATACCAGGATGCTTCCACATAAGTTTCAGCTTTCCTGGCCCAGTGGTTCTTGAGAAGAAGATTTTCAAAATTTTTCCTATATATTTCTATATTTAAAACTTTGATTCCCCATTGTGGCCCCGCCCTTCCCCATGGGGTCATGATTTGAACAATTTAAAATTTACACTATACCAGGATGTTTCCATATAAGTTTCAGCTTTTCTGGCCCAGTGGTTCTTGAGAAGAAGGTTTTCAAAGATTTTTCCTATATATTTCTATGTAAAACTTTGATACCCCATTGTGGCCCCGCCCTTCCCCGGGGGGTCATGATTTTAACAATTTAAAATCTACACTATACCAGGATGCTTCCACATAAGTTTCAGCTTTTCTGGCCCAGTGGTTCTTGAGGAGATTTTCAAAGATTTTTCCTATATATTTCTATATAAAACTTTGATTCCCCATTGTGGCCCCGCCCTTCCCCCGGGGGTCATTATTTGAATAATTAAGAATCTACATTATACCAGGATGCTTCCACATAAGTTTCAGCTTTCCTGGCCCAGTGGTTCTTGAGAAGAAGATTTTCAAAATTTTTCCTATATATTTCTATATTTAAAACTTTGATTCCCCATTGTGGCCCCGCCCTTCCCCATGGGGTCATGATTTGAACAATTTAGAATTTACACTATACCAGGATGTTTCCATATAAGTTTCAGCTTTTCTGGCCCAGTGGTTCTTGAGAAGAAGCTTTTCAAAGAATTTTCCTATATATTTCTATGTAAAACTTTGATTCCCCATTGTGGCCCCGCCCTTCCCCCGGGGGGTCATGATTTTAACAATTTAGAATCTACAATACCCCAGGATGCTTCCACATAAGTTTCAGCTTTACTGGCCCAGTGGTTCTTGAGAAGAAGCTTTTCAAAGAATTTTCCTATATATTTCTATGTAAAACTTTGATTCCCCATTGTGGCCCCGCCCTTACCCTGGGGGTCATGATTTGAACACTTTAGAATCTACAATACCCCAGGATGCTTCCACGTAAGTTTCAGCTTTACTGGCCCAGTGGTTCTTGAGAAGAAGATTTTTTAATGACCCCACCCTATTTTTGTCTTTTCTTGATTATCTCCCCTTGCGAGGAGATTTGTCCCTTCACTTTAACAATTTAAATTTCCCTTTACCAAAGGATACTTTGTACTAAGTTTGGTCAAAATTGGCCCAGTGGTTCTTGAGAAGAAGTCGAAAATGTGAAAAGTTTACAGACGGACGGACAGACGGACAGCTAGACGGACAGCTAGACGGACGGACGACGGACAAAATGTGATCAGAAAAGCTCACTTGAGCCTTTGGCTCAGGTGAGCTAAAAAAAACAAATGTTTGAGAATATAATTTTTTGTGTCATAGTTTGATGAGAGGAACTTAAATTTTCAGAGAAATCTCAGATCTGAGGATGTATCAGTATTGGTGATCCCGAAGCCAGGACAGTGTATTTTTTTGGCATTGAGTTTTCTAAGGTACATCTAAGCCTTAATACATTAAGCAATTGAAAATAAAAACAAGGTAAGAATATGCCCTTGCGACATGAATGCCCCATAATGCAACATTAAAGTTAGAATAAGTGTAAGCATTTTGATGAGAATATTTTTAATCGCTTCGATCTTTAAAATTAAAATTGTCTTTTGACATACTAAACAATGAATGAAAATGATAAATATCATCAAATTTTGTACTTGTACATGTGTGAATGCCTAAGATTATATTAAAATATTTTAAATGTTTTCTATAAAACTAATAAAAATTCAATTGAAAGACAAATAATTTCAAGGTCACAGGAAAGTTAAAGTTCGAAAGATTTGATACAGTTGAATACTTCTTTTGAGCAACACATTAGTTTGATAAATATTGTGGATGGTTTATTTAAATAATGTATATTTTTGAATAATTAGGTTCAGGTCAAATGAAAGTTAAACAATTTTGTTCCAGCCGGTAAGCTTATATAAGTATGTAAAAGCATATAAGGTTTGAAAAAAAAAACGTGTCATTATTATTTATTAAAAACTAAGCTAAAGAAGAATTTCAAAATGGTGAGGTCAAGGTCAAAACGTCAATAAAAATTTTATAGCTCATATAAAAAAAAATGCTGTTTATTCTGCACATATGTACAAATTCGCCATTATATGGAGCTATAACGGCGGCAGATTCTATAAAGGTTTATATAGGGAACGTACAAAAAATGAACATTATTTTTAGATCACTTAAGCTGAAAGATCAAGCGAGCTATTCTGATCTCAATTTGTAATCTGTCTGTCTGTCCGTCTGTCTTTCCGTCCGTTTGTATATTTTTCACATTTTCGATTTCTCCAGAACCACTGGACCGATTTCAACTTTACTTGCCATAAAGCATCCCTGTGTGAATGGAACTTAAGTTTATTCAAATTAAGTGCCACACCCTCATTTAAAGGAATATAATTAGGAAATGGTGAAAATTTCGTGGCGTGCTTTAAGAATTTTCTTCTCAAGAAACTCCGTCCTAGGTAGTGTAGATATAAGTTTATTCAAATTACGACCCCCGGGGGTAGGGTTGGGTCACAATGGAGGATCAAAGTTTTACACAAGGATATACACGTCTTTTTTTTCAAGAAAATATGAATAGTCGTCCTTCGTAAAGATCTATCCTGAGGAAAATCTGCAGAGCTGGTTTAAATATTTGTATCTATGCTATCTTTCAAAAACATGTCTTTGCAAAAGTGATCAGAGAAATAAAACAAACTTTATAGTCATAAAAATTATGTCATTCAAGGTATTTTTGATATTATTACATTGTCTTTTATAAGATCTGTCTTTCAGTAATATTAAGATTATGGTTTAATATCTCAATATTCGTATATAAAATACAAATGAATTGTTTACAAATACATGTATTTAGGGAAATTGGAATATATACAGATTTCAACCATGCAGCATTATCAATTTCAGAACTTTTTTATTTTTTTCTGATATTGTGTATTAAAAACCATGGCCTAAGTGGATGATTGCCATAAAAAAGAATAGAGTTTCCAAAAAAAGAAGGTATTTCTAAAGCAAGGATCCTTATATAATACATACAAATCCCAATGTTCTTCTTCCCAGTAGGTTTTCTGTAAGCTTTGTTGTCGATGATGTAAATGTCGTTGTGTGGATGTAGACCTATACAGGATCTCACGATGTCAGGTCTCCCGTATCTCCAGAGCCACGTCACGTGATCTACACTGTCCTGTGATCTTTCTCTGTAATGTACAGTCTCCCCTTCTCTTCTCAGATTCATTAGAAACTCTTTACGCTTATCTTTACTTTCCTTTAGCATATCTCCTGTAACATTCACTGCAGAAAAAAATAATATCGTATCATAATTAATATCGTATAAGCGCAATATTTTATCTGGAATAACATGAAATAAACATATAAATAACATGTAGATAAACCTAATAAGGAATGAGTTAGATACAAATAACCAATAGATAAACAATTATTTTATAGGAATCTTCAGATTGCAGCATTTGAGAGCCCCATGAAGTATAAATAAAAGGATCAGAATCTATAGATTATATCTTAAGATCATGTCATGAGATATATTAATGTTCAGAATTAGATATAATCATTTCAAACATAATATAAATTAGGAAACTATCACATTTCTCCACAATGTCTTACATATCTGGTGTATCTGATCATATATTCTCTTGTCCTCCATGGTGACGTGAGTCAGTATGTTCATCTGTAGACGGAGTATCAGTAAGGAATCACAGCCAAGACTAGAGACACACTTCTCACCAGGTTTTCTGTTGTGTCTCACTGATCTCAGGTACACACTGGCTGTGTCATGACTACTGTACAAGTATAGTATACGTTCGTTTATTGATGCTATCCTATACATTGTCTCGTCCTTTGTGTCTTCCGTTATCTTGTCCTGATCTTCCCAGAGGTAATCACGTGACTTCAGTCTGTCCAGAGTCTGCTGTGCTTCCTCACTTGTTACAGGATTCTTTTTACTGTACACCCAATGTCGTATCTCATTAAGCTTGTCCAGCCACTCTGAGTCGGTGAAGTCAGGAGGACCGGAGTCAGAGCACAGAAAACAGAACAACACTAACACATCGTCATCAGTCAGTGTGGAGAACTCATCTAAAAATAAAATCAAAAAACACTGATTACATATTTTAGATGGCTTGATTAGTTTTCATCTACTCTTTTTCCACTGCATGTAGTCAAGTTAGAAAATACAAATAAATTATGACAAAATTATTATAAGTAAAATCACGCAGTTTTTATTTTAGAAAAATGATTTCCTTTTCCCTTTAGATTTGTGTTTTTATCCCTTAAAACCCATGTTTAGTATATAAAAATATAAAACAAATTACCGACACTTGTGAGAGTGCTATAGTAAGTATAGTTTGTTGACCTTTGCTTTGTATTTCTGATGATTGATTGAAAATGGTTAAACAAGGTGTTTTCAAATATTATCATGACTATAATAAGATAAAAAGTTTATTTAAAAAGAAAAAAAATTGACTTTTAGGATAGCATTTCAATGCTAAAATTTAATTAATATCATTTTGCTGTTTAGGACTTTGATATTGAGCTATTATGTTTCAAAATAAAATCAAGTGTCGTCTTTCGAAGATTACAGTCACCACCTTACAATTTTTGTGAAGATAGACCATACGCCAAATCACTTATCTGAACAACTGGCCAGGTGAAAACAAAAAACAAAGATCAAGAGGCCCAGGAGCCACAGCGCTCACCTGCGGACATCGGGCTTGAAAGCCATTCATCATTTGAACAAACTAGAAACTACGCTTCCTGAGGATGATTCCATATAAATATCACTAATCATAGCTTTGAAGTACTTGACAAGAAGATTTAAAAAGGTTTCCCTATATATACCTTTGAAAAACTTGAGTCGGCCATTTTGGCCCCACCCAAGCCCCGGGGATCATGATTTGAACAAACTTGAATCTACACTACCTGAGGATGATTCCACATGAGTTTAGTCCTTTCTGGCACAGTGGTTCTTGAGAAGAAGATTTTTAAAGATTTTTCCTAAATATTCCTATGTAAAACTTGGGTCGGCCATTTTGGCCCCACCCTTGCCCCAGGGGTCATGATTTGAACAAATTTAAATCTAAATTACCTGAGGATGATTCCACATAAGTTTCGTCTTTCCTGGCCCTGTGGTTCTTGAGAAGAAGATTTTTAAAGATTCTTTCTATATCTTCCTATGTAAAACTTTGGTCGGCCATTTTGGCCCCACCCTAGCCCCGGGGGTCATGATTTGAACAAATGTGAATCTACACTACCTGAGAATGATTCCACATGAGTTTCGTCCTCCCTGGCACAGTGGTTCTGAAGGAGAAGATTTTTAAAAATGCCATCAATTTTTCTCTAATTCATAATTATCTCCCCTTGAAAAAGGGCATGGCCCTTTATTTGAATACACTTGAATTCCCCTCACCCAAGGATACTTTGTGGCAAGTTTGGTTGAAATTGGCCCAGTGGTTCTTGAGAGGAAGTCGAAAATGTGAAAAATTTATGGACATACAGACAGACGGACAGCTAGACAGACAGACGGACGCCGGACAAAATGTGATCAGAAAAATTCACTCGAGCCTTTTGCTCAGGTGAGCTAAAACAGTTCAGTATCGAACAGTTGGAATATAAAAAAATGGTTCGGCCGGTGGGGGGTGGGGATGGGGGTGGGGGGTGGAAGGGGTTGAATAACTTCCTACTCAAAAAGTGATACATAAAAGATCTGCTGTTTTAAAGATGAAAATTTTTATTAATATACCGATAGCGTTTATATTTATTGAATAACTTTCTAGTTAAGAGACTATGCCAGGGCAACAACGACAGCCCGTTAAACTTAAATTATCCCATGGTTCCGACTATCGTCCATGTTCCTGGCATAGTCTCCTAATTAGACAGTGATTCCTAATACAATGGACCCTCATTTATCCGAACGCTTTGGTTCCCGGTCAATTTGTCCGGATATGTGAAGCATCCGAATATCTGAATCACCAGTTAAACAAGACAAAATAACATTTAAAAATTTTAGTCACATGCACTCATTTAGACAGAAAATTGAAAAATATCGATATGCCCCGGCTATTTATTTGCCCCGGCCCGGGTTTGCCTACCCATTTTACCAACACTCCATTTTTTAACGTGTGTGTGGGCGTATAATTACTGGTCTGGCATGGTTTCATATGGTAGAAAAATGACCCTACTTGTCGTTGAAGATTAACTTTTGGTCCTTTTTCTTCTTAGAAAAAATGACCCCCTGGACAATATTCTACGCGGTCACTGTTCGTCGTTACACCGCTTTTAAAGGACGCCATTTCCACAAACAGCCCTTCTTGAACCATTGAAAGGTAAACAAGTAGAGCTTTTTAAAAAAAGCTTCCCGTCTTTAGCAACAATCTTAAACAGTAAACTGATCTACACCTATCAGGCTGTATGATTCTTTTGAATTTTTTATTTCTACATTAGCTTTTTACTGGCATTAGCCCTACCACGGTTGCCGCTCGGTCATTTCCGTAAACTTTGACTGGCCGAGAGCTTTCGGCAAACCTCGGCTGATTCCATTCCCTTCTTCAGACAAGAAAGGGGAAAAAACATATTGTAAGGTCTGTAAGCTATAAAAATCAAATTTTATTTATAATGAAATTAAAGAGACCTTTTTATTTATTGCTATAAAAAATACCATGTTATTAAGAATTAATTGCTGCTGATTTTGCTGTTCGTTTTGTCATTTTTTTAAAGATTGGAAATCTAGCAAAATTGTTAAGTCGTACGAAAATTAGATCATCAGAAAGTTATCTCCCTTGCTTTGAACAGCATTTCGACCAATGAAATAATTGAAAATTTTTTCATCATGCAATTTCTACCAATCACAAAAGAGAGGATCGAAGTGCATAGTCCGAAGACTGTAAAAAACTTAAACTTTACTATACCGTCTTCCAAGGAAGACGGTAATAAGCATTTAGATATAAGTGTTAAATGTAGTTATTTTTTCACAATGCCTTTTAGCTGTGCAGATATTATCATAGTTATTGATAATAACTTCAGTCTTCAGGAATCTTACTTAGTCTTTTAATGACAATCGCCGATAAACATCAAATAGTATGATCATCAACTATGTCCGTAAATTTCATGAAGAAAAAACGAGTATTTATTCCGTAATTGTCAAAAACCCGGTTTTCAACTTCGAAATTCCCGGCCCGGCCCGGGTTTCGCTACCCATTTTAGTCAGAATCTGTCTTAATACTTTATCGACCGAATGAAATTTTCAGATTCTATTCTTTATATGAATATTTATATTCGCAGAAAAAATTAACTTCAAATACTAAATATTGTAGATTTTACCTGCGATTATTGATTTTCAGGTTGGTAAAATGGGTAGGCAGTTACATATGTCTAAGACATACGTTTTCTGACATAATTGTTACAGAAAGTCTATAAAGTTATGAATAAATCTGGTGTTTAAGAATATATATGAACTATAAATTAATATTTCTTCATTGGTTATTGCAATATTTAATTTACGTAAAATTACATGTGTTTGAAAAAAATGAAAATTCAGGAATAATTGTAAAGGTTACTCTATTTTGCTGAATATTAACATTCAATCTAAACAGTTCCAAAACCCAATTTCAAATTGATGATTATTGAATTAAAAAGGACCTCTATGTAGTTAGAGCTTGGCAATGTCGAAAAACTGATAGCTTAACATCCGACGATAGAAACAATTGGCTTTCATTATTTCGGAATTTTCTGGTCTGCCCCGGGTGTTCAGATCCGGTTTTAATGACCCAATTTTTCTGAAAAAAGCGTAGATTCTGCACCTGTATCTTTTATAATGTAAAACTAGATGCTGTCACGAGAATAAAATACCTGCACTAAGCTGCTTGCCTCTAAATACACACATCTACATATTGGGCTTTTCAAGGAAAACATCAAAATAATTGTATAAGTTACATGTTTCATGTATTCGTCAATTATGACTCAGAGCATCTTATATGTTTTTTATACATGAAATTCATTATAAGTCTGAAAAACACAGAAATAAATAAATGATGTGAATTATATTTAGATAAATATTTTGCTCATAATAGAAGCTTTTAGAATTTACTAATAGCCTCCGAGACCACAAACACACGGAACGTGCGGTTTTTTTAATAGGCGCAATGGAAAAGTAGTTAAAACATTGTTTGTTATGAATTAATTTAGAATATGTTCTTTTACCATACATGGTTACATCTAAACACCTTTTGGAAAATTTCCAGACCTTATTGGGTTGTGTCACCCATTATCATATCTTTAGATTAAGCATCACTCGGCACATCTCGGCCGATTCCCACTTCATCTGACAAGGCGATTGAAGATTTGCCGAATGGGGTTATAAGCACATGGCGCAGTTTGGTGTGTATTGAAACAATTCATTTTGTGTTTTAATTGGATTTAAATATTTCATGAAGTTCACAGGACCAATGACAGTCGGTAAGTACAGGTTTAAGTATAGATTGGAGTAAAATAAACCGCAAATGATTAGGTTAAAGTTCAAAAAGGGTCAAAGATCATCGCATGCCACAGTCACATTGTGAAGTTATCTCCCGTTGTCGATGTGACATTTTAATAGCTACTGGAGTAGATCCAGATTTTTTTCGGGAGGGGGTGGGGGGGGGGGGGGTCACCCCAAGTAAAAAAAATCCAGCCCAGAATGTCCTGATAAGCAAAGAGAAAAAAAAACTGAAAACAAATTAATAAAATAAAAACAATGATAGTTGGATCGTGGGGTAAAGTTTTTCTTAGGGGGAGAATGTCCAAAGTCATTCTTAAGTAAATTGCTTCAGTATACAGTCTTATTCAAATAACAATGCAAATTCCAAAGAGGGGGGGGGGTGTTACAATCTCCCTAGCCACGCTCTGTCTCTGAAATTACAATAAATCGTGTGACTCGAAAATAGTAGATTTTTTTCTCCATTTCACTTTATACATATTTTATATCTTGTGTTTATATTATGTCTGTCTGTTTGAACCTTGCCTATAAATTAAGTTTCAAGTGGGATGGTCTATACTCATGGTTTCCGCATTGCATATGTTCCTTGTGACTATGCCTTTCATTT